AGGCCGAGGAGGGGGGCGGAGGGGGGGAAGGGCCTAAGGAAGGTTATCGGCGGGTCGACACGGGCCACGGGTAGCTTTGCAAGCCCCGCAAGCCCCCCCAAACTGGAGTCCAGGCGCAGCTGGAGACCAAGGGCCAACAAGGGGCCCCGGCCCGCCCCGACCCACCGAGAGAGAGAGAGAGAGAGAGAGAGAGAGAGAGAGAGAGAGAGAGAGAGAGAGAGAGAGAGACGTTAGAGATGAGAGGGCGAAAGCGGTCGGCAGAATAAACCGTCACGCGAAAACGTTGTATGTGAGGGAACGTAAAGGGCGGAGCAGAGGACAGCTCCCCCCCCCCTCCCCTTTTCAGAATAACAAACGCTTGTCGCAGGAAACGAACACACACTGCTTCGAAAAAAAAAATGAAGAGAGAGAGAAAAAGTAGCAGCCCCGCATTTTCATTTATTTACGCGAAAGTTCCTGAAAGCGTAAGCACGCCGCCCTACACTATAGTTCAGTAATAATAGCAAAAAGTGAGGCGACCCGCTCTCCGACTCCCGACTAATCTATCGCTATGAATGACTAATATATTATTGCCAACTTGTACGAGGATCGCGCGCATAAGCAAAAAGGCTCATCGAAAAGGACGGGGGAAAGAGGAGAGGGATGGGGGGACCAGACAAGCGGCTTACTCTGCTAATGGCTCGCAAATCCGCAAGAATGGAAAAAAAATGGACGGGAAGCTATAGGAGCGAGAGAGCGAGCGAAAGAGAGAGAGAGAGACAGAGAAAGAGAGGGGGGGGGGGGGTTCCGGACTAACCACCACGCCGACCTCACCCCTGCATTTTTTGAGGCGCTCTGGAGCGAATCCAATAATTTCGGCTGCGGATATTTTGCGGAGAGAGGAAAGGGGTGGGGGTAATTAGCAGTGTCTGTCGTATGCCAAATTAGTCAGCGTGTCGATGGAATGTTTTCACGGGCCGCAGAGAGGCTGGCGGGGAGAGTGAGATAGAGACAGACAGGCAGACAGAGAGAGAAATTGAAATTTGTTTTATTTTAAAACTTCATGTAAAATGGTTAAAAAGCCCCCTACTACTGCAGTATGCAGTCTGCCCTCTCAACAACAAACAGTGATAGATTTTAATAAATATTAACAACAGAGACCGAGAGATACAGAGCGAGAGGCAGAGGGATAGAAGGCGGGGCAGAGGACGAAGGAACAGAAAGGAGGAGGAAGGAAAACAAGGCATAGACGACTTGTCAAACAAAAATAAGCAGATGGGACTACGTCCCAATATTGAGACGGGAGCTGCAGCTGCAGGGAGCGCGCCGCCCCGCCGTCGCGGCCGAGGAACGCTCATCTCATTATGACTTAACGAGCACTATTACTGCGAGGCGCAGTTTGCTTTCGTCTTGACCTCCGCGGGGGCGGGGCGCGGTCGCGGCGGGAGGGGAGGGAGGCGAGGGGCACGGCGGGGCACGATTAGGAAGGAAGGAGAGAGGGGAGGGAAGGGCGGAGGGGCCCGGGCTCCCAGCGCGCTGCTTGTGATTGCAATTTTGTCCCCTCCGGTCGTCCCCTCCGCTGTCAGCCGCCCTGGCGCTGCTCCGTCCCGTCCTCTTCCCAGCGGGCGGGCGGGGCCAGGGGGGGGCAGGCCAGGCCTCGACCGACCCGCACCCCGCACGGCGGGGTGAGATTGGTGGAGTATGATCCCTCCCTCCCCTTCCCTCCCCTCCTAGCACCCCGTGCCGGGGACGACCTCCTAGACGTCGAGACGCCATGGCCGGCCCAAGATGTCAGCCTCCCTCCTCCCCTCCCCCCAACCCGCTCCCGCCAAATATTGGCCTCATTGTTTCGGAAGGTGCGGAGCGCCGCCCATTAGCACACCCCCTGACAGCGGCGGGGAGGGGTGGGGCGGGGTGGGGTGAGGCGGGGACGTTGGAATGGGGTCGAGGATCGGAAAAAAATTAAAGGGTGCGGATTGGGGCGTAGGGTCCCATTGCAAGGCGTGGTGGGGTGGGGCGAGGTGGGGTATAGGGCGTGGTGGCCTTGCCTGTCCCGTCCGGGCCCAGCTTATTACCACGTACCCCAACGGGATCGTCCCTCCAATGGCATGCTAGGGGGGAAAACACACATACAACACAAAACGAACAAAAACCAAAGAGTGCAAAGTCCGTGTGCCCCTGGAAAGATAACAATAAAACTACTCTTTTGCAAAAGGGTTATCGCAAAGACATATTTCGCATAGAGAGAGTTGGGCTGGGGACGGGTCCGGGCGGGACCAGCCGGACCCCCCAACCTCCCCCCCACTCCGCGCTGCTGGAACTACATGGTCTTGTTCACGTGTGTGTTTGTGTTTGTTTTTGCAGAAGTACCAGCAGCTCCGCATCAAGATCCTGGGCGACTGCTACTACTGCATCAGCGGCGCGCCCATCGAGCGGCCCGACCACGCCATCCTGTGCGTGCACATGGGCCTGTCCATGGTGGAGGCCATCAAGTGAGTACAAGGGCGGCCAAGGGCCAAGGGCCAAGGGCCAACATGTGTGGGCCATTTCTGTGACGAAATTGATAAGGACATTCAACACTTTGTGTTTCAAAAGTCGTTGTAGTTTGTTTTAAGGGTCGTTCAAAAAATGCGTGCCCTTCGGGAAGATGGGGGGGGGCGGGGTCAAAGTGTTCTGGGGTCCCAAATGGATTAAGACCATATCGTCGAACTCTTTACAGAAACCCGTAATATTTGTAACCCGGGGTACAAATGTCATGGGGTCTCTATTCACTTCAATTATGTTCCGAATCATTTTGAGACCCCAAAATATTTGTAACCCCTCCAAAAAAGACACATATATGCAAAATGATCCCTTAGTATACTTGGTGAAACAAGCATTTCAGCGTTTCTTATTATTCTGTTGTTTTTTTAAAAATTTGCATCATTAGTTTTAGCATCCCAACTAGCAAGCAGGGTTACCAGTGCAAAACTAGCGAGCGTGCTGCAAACAGCATCCCTTATCCCCCTCCGGCTCCGGGGCCGGACCCTGGGACTTGGGGACTGAGGCGGCGGCCGCCCCAGAGCCCTCACAGCAGCCTCCATTAGTGGCCAAACCCGTGGACCGCGCCCGGCCCCAGCACATCAACCTATTTACTATGCAAACGAGGTGGCGGCGCGCGGGCCCAGTGTTTGCCGTCAGTCCTGCCCGTCCCCCCCCCCCCTCCCTTTTCCACAGCTCCGAACGACTTCGGTCGCTGCGGGAGGGAGGCTCTCGCCCCGCCTCAGCGACAGAGAGGCGGGGCGGGTCGTTACGTGCGACTCATCGCACGTTCCAGCCGCACGGTG